CACAGATCTGAGCAGCGGCAATAGGGCGATTGGATGTCTCACAGATCTGAGCAGCGACATTAGGACGATTGGATGTCTCACAGATCTGAGCAGCGGCAATAGGGCGATTGGATGTCTCACAGATCTGAGCAGCGGCAATAGGGCGATTGAATGTCTTGCAGATCTTAGCAGCGGCAGTAGGGAGATTGGATGTCTCACAGATCTGAGCAGCGGCAGTAAGGGGATTGGATGTCTCACAGATCTGAGCAGCATCAATAGAGCGATTGGATGTCTCACATATCTGAGCAGCGGCAATAGGGCGATTGGATGTCTCACAGATCTGAGCAGCGGCAGTAGGGGGATTGGATGTCTCACAGATCTGAGCAGTAGCAATAGGGCGATTGGAACTCTCACAGATCTGACTAGCGGCAATAGGGCGATTGGATGTCTCACAAAATTCGGGCAGCGGCAGTAAGGGGATTGGACGTCTCACAAATCAGAGCAGCGGCAGTGGGGGGATTGGACGTCTCACAAAATTCGGGCAGCGGCAGTGGGGGATTGGACGTCTCACAAATCAGAGCAGCGGCAGTGGAGGGATTAAAAGTCTCACAAAATTCGAGCAGCGGCAGTAAGGGGATTGGATGTCTCACAAAATTCGAGCAGCGGCAGTAAGGGGATTGGACGTCTCACAAATCTGAGCAGCGGCAGTGGGGGGATTGGACGTCTCACAAAATTCGGGCAGCGGCAGTAAGGGGATTGGACGTCTCACAAATCAGAGCAGCGGCAGTGGGGGGATTGGACGTCTCACAAAATTCGAGCAGCGGCAGTAAGGGGATTGGACGTCTCACAAAATTCGAGCAGCGGCAGTAAGGGGATTGGACGTCCCACAAAATTTGAGCAACGGCAATAAGGCGATCAGATGTCTCACAAATCAGAGCAACGGCAGTAGGGGGATTGGACGTCTCACAGATTTGAACAGCTATATAGGGCGATCCGATGTCTCGCAGATCTTAACAGTGGAGTAGCGGCAATGTATACCCCACAGATCAGAGCCGGCAGCGGCATTGGCGGAAGCTGATGACTCACAAATAAAAGCAGCGGCAATATATTGGACGCTCACAGTGGAACGTCGATGCAGACTAGTGTTGTAAACTCCTGGAAATCAGGTGATTTGCAATGCATTGATAGTTGACACTCGCAAAACAGAACATACAGTCAGTATTTAATATTAATATAACGTGGTAAATCTTCACCAATTTACCCACATTAAATAATAAATAAGAATAATAAGCAGCATATTTATGTCTAATTTATCGGTAATTATGTATCATATTTCACTGGTCCATAAAACAAACTGTACTGCGCTGTTACCTAATGTAAACGTTTATGAGTAAAACGTCGTTTGGAAATAATAACATACATCTATTTTCATTAAGAAAAGTAGCAAAGACCTAATCGATGCACTTCTTTCGTGAAAAAAAAGAAACTAGTACAAACAAACAATTAATAGAATTAAAAATGTAACAGTATCCAAGTTATTTAAAAAAAAGATGCCCCGTTTAGAATAGCTGAAAACATTATAGAGCCTAGGGGAGGTTTTACAAGCACCGTAAACAATCCGTATCTGGTTTGGATTAAAACAATTGCGGTCACCTTGTTCATCGAGAAACGTACCACCTGGTCCAGGTTAAAAGAAACAGAACAACAGCGTGTACCCTGTTCCGATTAGAAACATGACAAAACAATAGTCAACATTTTAGAAATAACAGAAATCACCGGGTTCACCTTAAAACACGGCAAACACTAGGCCCAGAAACAGTGGCAACCACCTTATCTGAATTGAAAACAACATTTTATGTTTTTTGTTCCAGGAACAGCGGTATTCGTTTCAAGAACAGCGGGAAGCGGAATGCTTCGCTTAGAAGAAATACAAACGTAATACATTAGTTTATATTAGAAACACGGGATATACTCGTACATCTCAAAAGGTAATATTATACACATAGTTTCTTTTAAAAAGAACGACCTACTCCAGATTCGTGTCAGAAACACGGTGCCATAAATAGTTTTGTCATGGTTGTTTTATTGTATCATATATTCGGAAGGCATGAATAAATGTACAAACAACTTCTTACTTACATCTGTAAAAGACAGAATTCCAGACAACAACAAATATATACAGGGACTAAAATCCAGGGATAATGGGCGAAATATCGGTCAGTAAAATTCAGTCCCTGGGAACAATATCGGGAGATAATCTGGCCCTTTTCCTGGTAGACAGAGCATTTACAAAAACCTTCGAATGAGTTGTAGTTAAATGATAGCCGTTTTATTCCCTGATAATTTGTTGTCTATGTCCTAATTCAATGATGGGTTGGTATGAGTGTGCTAGAAATCCCAGATACGTCAATGCTATGTATATGTCATACTATCTTGCCTTTAATTATGATTACGAGTAGACGAGATTTAGCAAATTTCGTTGTATGTTCATTGTATAAACTGTATAAAATGTGCACCAAATTCTATTCACATCCAATATGCATTAAAACTACAGTATTGTCAGAATCAGAAAAAAACGCCTACTATATTACGAAAATTACATTACTTATTTATTCGTTTTCTTGAAGAAAAAGAAACAAAAACATCGAATCAAAATATATGATAATTTACCAGAACTATAAAAATAGTTCGTAGCAGTACGGGATGTCGCCATGTCTCACATAACGCTATGTAGACAGGACTACTGTGTGCTTGGACACTACCAAGAGGGATAAAAATACCTGGGCTTTTTATCTCAAACACCAGGTACTAAACTATTCGGAAAATCTGCGATTATAAAAACAAAAAAGGCTCTACGCATTACCTTCACGATTCATGTTTCTGTTGTTCCAATTACTTTTCGTACTGACAACATTTGTAGACGGCAATTTCCTGTCGAGGTTATTGACAAGTGTTTCGCCCTTTTATTTATTATTATTTTTGTAAGCATATTATTAACAAACATATCAATAGTTTTATTTTACTTTCAGATGATGGAGAAGTAAAGGTGTTGTTTTCAGTGAACATTAAAGACGATAGACGATATGATTTACACCATTTCATTTATCAGCAATATGCCAGAACTACAGTTTTATCACTGATTTGTCCTAACGTGGTTGACATTTTTACGACTGGAATAAGTACGGTGTAACACGGTGACTAGTCTTTTCACCTAATATCTTACTTTTTCACTACCATATTTGATAAGAAATCGCTACTAATTACTACGGCTGATTGTAATCAGTAAATAACTAGTTTTAACTTCGGGTTATTTATAGAAAACTATAAGCTTATTATCTAAAAAAGAATTCATTATTCTTTATATTTTTCACTAACAAAAGAAAATCACCAGATACCATCGCATGTTACAAATTCAAACTGTTATTTATCCGAAGTTTTTGTCACTATAGTATTTCTAAATATATTTCATTTAACAACTCTGTCTTAGACACGATCGGCATAGCATGGCCGTACACTTGCATGTTGAATAAAAGATTTGATTTTATTGTACAGAAAATAGACAGCGCGTACCAGCATATTTACATACCAGACGTTTAACATAATTCACCTTGTGTTGTTGAAAAAAATATATTTATAAAATACCTCGCTAGGGGCGGCGGACAAAACATGAATTATCAGTAAGATCGGTAAACTTGGTGACCTGCCACTTTTTTCTCTGTCTCAGAATTTACTTGTTTTAATCTGATTCCCTTCTCGGAAACTTTTATTACAGTCGTTAAACTTGAAATTTGTTTGTCTCCATAGAGTGAAGGCCAACCAAACGTGAAGAATAAAATGAGATTATGTCATATAAAGTAACGAGCCTACTTCAAACAATTAATTTCTACAACATTATAAATACTTCAACTTAAATGGAGGAGATATTTCAACCGGGTCTTGTATCAAGCAGGCTGATTGGGTCATACCATTAAATTAACAGTTTTATTGTTTAGTTGTTTTAAATCAAATGTGTGTTTGTTTCTGTAATTTGACATAAACTCACATCACCGATTAGTGTGTTCATCACAGTTTGCGCCGAACGAGTTTTGCTTTGTGTGGATTATCGAAATTTCAGAGTTTAGAGTTCATGGCAGACTTAATGCACTTTGTATGTCTTTTCCGTCCCAGCCACGCACTATATATAGTACGAGACAACTTCAGGTTTAAAAAAACAGATCGTTACTTCCAATTGAAGCCAAGGAGGAATGATTTAACTTGCAAAGCAATTCACCAACAACACGGCTGGGATAACTAAGTCCGACTGTGATTTTTTTACAATCACCGCATACATGGTGATAATAATATGAATATTAGGCGAATACTAGGACGGGAATGCGCAACAAAAACGTAAATTTTGAATTAAATAAATATAAATAACTTTCTACACGAGCCCTCGTCCGATAACGTAATTGGAATCACCCCAACACCAATTGAACCATAAAAAACAATTTTAATTCAAATTCTATTATATTAAATAAATAAAGAAAACATACAGCAAACAAAAGACTAATTAGGTAAAAACTCAACTGATTATTGATAATTTCGTCCTCGAAATTCCGAAATATAAGAACCTCGCCAAACTGAGTTTTTATTACAAAAATAGTAGATTGATTTACAACATTTGAAGCAGGAGATTATATTGGGGATGTCGACAATCTACCCTAATGTGTGGGCCGTCTCTACGCATAGTTAAGTCGGTGTAATTTGCTTCTTCGTAAATCACCAGCAAGGAAAACAAATTCGGTTAAACAAATCAAATGTCATTAACGAGTTACCAACACACAGCCAAATCGTTTCCTGCCCAAAGATTTATCTACTAATATCACCTCATTATGAGGGATCTCTTCGTACAGTCATTAAGTACTGTTCAGTTGTAGTGTTTATTGCTATAAACGTCGCGATGGTGAAGGGATCTCGTTTTATTGTAGTTATGCGGGGCTATGAGAAGATGGACTTGTGGATGGTTCAGTTTGTGTTCTTACCTGGCCACTGCGCCTTCCACGTGTGTGCGTGGGACTTGGTCGTCTTCATCCACGGAAACTGCAGGTTTTGGGGTCGTCCGTCCGCGTTATGTATCTGATGTCCGGTATGACCCATCTGTTGATGATTCTGTGGTTGGTGGTGAACAGCTATCGAAGAAGCCGGCGAATTCACCGGCAAAGATACCGCTACCCGAGAAACTTGGTGTTGCATCTGTTGGCCGATTTGACACGGCTCCGTCACTGCCACCTGTGCGTGTTCCATACGCAAATGCCCGTCCATTTCCACCACCGACATGGTATGACCACCATAGTTGTTTTGGATATGCGGCTTGGCGTAAATACAAGCCGGTGGCGAAGTGGCGTAGTTAACAACGCCCTGTTGCGGAACGTACTGCTCTTTTGAGAACATAGCCGGGGAATAAAATGGATTTGAGTTGTCCATGTTGAAAATATCCAGGTAAATTAGAGTTATAGAATAGACACCACTATATATGCCTATCAATCATTGTCATTTGGCTTATAATTGAACCAAAGAGTCACATGACCACTGCGGCTTCCACCGTTGTCACCGACGAGTTGAGCAACAGATAAACGCAAACAAACAAACAATATGCAAGCAGTTACGCGATTCGCTAGAACTAACTTTATACATTTTGTATCTATAATTTATATAACGAAACAAGCATTAAATTATCAACGGAACATAAATACTTGTTGATGTTTTGGAATAAAAAATAGGGCAGTGCTCGCACGCATTTCGCACCACATGTTCTGTAAATGTCAATAAAAATTCGGCCGGGAAATGAACACAACTTTTAAAATGTACTTCATTCCCCCCTGTACTGATAAGAAAAGCGAGTTCGATTTTCTATTCAGATTATTTTATTACTTCAGACACATATATTATGTTTACAATTTCTCATTCTAAGAGGAGCCTGAATTCTAGGGCCCCACTAAACGAGAATAAATCCCTTGACAGGAATTAATGTGTCAACATGTAGGGATCCCGTCTCGATTGATTTATTAAAACGTATTTTATTACTTTTTCTCTAATGTCTGAAAGCTTGAGATATACGACTTACATTTGCAAGTGTTATCAGCATATTCTAACAGTTTTGCCACGGAGAGTAACATAAATAATATAAAAATGATCTGAAATAATTTACAATTTTCTCTTTATAACACCCCGATATATTTATTATAAATGTTATCAGAACTCAATCATATTATCAACAAATCGTATCTTGTACCCGTCATGTTGAACACGTACTAATTAAATAGCCTTGAATATACATATTGACTGTACATCTCTAGTCAACATTGCTGTTGTTTGACCTCTCCCGTCGAATGCCCGGCATGCCCTAACTATCGGTTCGCGTTGTTTACAATATTACAGTATAGACATGGATTCTTACCAAAAAATGTACCGACCTTCGCGAATGACGTTCATGTGATAACCACAATCGTCCATGTGGTATACACGGCCATCAAGATATAACAGATAAAGACGTTGATAAACACGCTTTGAATTCACCGTGTTTTTTTGTTTTTGTTCAATTATTTCACGCAAATGAACAATTTAGTAACTTCATAAAGTGTTACGAGCTCATTTTTTTGCGATTCACCACTCCCAAAAACTGGAACATTCACAACCTTTTGTGCCATTTTTTGTCGAATTTCAGTAACTAAGCAACGAAGTTTGATAGCTCAATCTGTTTTGTATAGACGCGCCTGTCTGCTCTGAGATCGGGAACAAGATCGCTACTGATAGTAAAACCCTAGAAATACATGCCGCCAATTGTTGCTATCTTTCCCAAAGACACACAAAGTACGCCGGCCGACATAATTTGATGACCCATTTCGGAGGGCGTGTGTAAGACACCTAAAGATACTTGCCACTAAGCCAACCTGTTTACAAAGTCTTATGTGGATTCAGATCGCCCTGGAAACAAGTCATTCCGAACAGCGTCGGGCAAACACGCCATGGAGCGCGCCATCAAGAATCTACGGCAAGAAACTCACATTTGTTTTCATTCTCATTTATTGTAAACAATAATGACTGGATCAATAAACATTCCATACTTGTAATATTTTCATTGTTCAACGTGAAGGCCACGCTCACTAACATCGGCGACTACATTCCGTACAGATGCAGATGAATTCACAGTTACGCAAACATCAAACAGTCAATCAACGAGCCACACTTCATACGTATTTACACGCGAATTACGCTGAAACACCAAATACATTCACCTCGTCATCGTATCTGGGCCAAACGTTTCCCCAGCACTTAATTGACGTTTCCATTTAAGTTATTGAAATATGTTTTATGTTATGTTATTTTATGTTAACGAGAGTTATATAATCTCAAAAAGATGCTTTTAAAATCGACCCGTAGTGACAATATTGCTAGATGCAGAATGGAAGAGGCGGAGGGGATATTTGGCTAACGTGACACATGAGTAGATGTCACTTTACTAAGTTGACCAATTAGACATGACTTAGATACAAGGAGGCAAACACCTTGTATTCTAAGTTGGCGATACAATTTTCAGACACGCATCTCAAGCAGTATCTAAAAAACCTGGAACCCCTAGTTTTCTAATTCATACTGCATTTATTCCTATTATTATTCGATCTCCGAATGGATGTGCCAATGCCACCAACTCATAAACACTAAACTTCGCTTCTTTCAAGTGAAATAATTAGATATATGAATAAATAAAAAATAAATAAAAAATACTGATACAGATCCTAGAGATTTGGAGATGAAGTATAAGTCTTATAGAGCGCAGGGCTAATATTCAAATTTCATTTTCAAATCGACAGAGACTTGTGGTGTTTGGGATAAACCATACTCAGCGTGTCGATAATTCGCTTTATTTTTCCTCGTAAAAATTAGGTTTCGGGAAAAACTAATAAATGCATCATTATGTAATAGGAATATAACATTTGGTGACTAGGCTGGCTGCCATGACAGAGCTCACCGAGTACCAGTTTCTGACCAGCAACACCACAACAGGTGTCAACCTAGCAAGCGACGGGAAACATACATGTTACATGACGTCATCATATCACGCATGTCTGACGTATGATATTAATATTCAAACTCATCATACCAGCTTGTGCAAATTGAATTATATTTTAGGAGTGTGGAGTGGGTTGATATATGAAAAGCTGTGAATCTGAATTTGTGCTGTTTTATGCAGGTTTGCGGGGCGACCATGCAATTCTGACATTTGCCATGTACTATAGATTCACCACATGATGCGTTCGAGCGGAGCAACCTCGCTCTGTTGAAATGAGGAAGGACACCAATGTTGATATAAAACAATTCTTCAAAAACGCCGCCTTGTATACTTAATATAGATACGGGAACGAAAGATGCTCTAGCATCGCCTAGGTAACCACAACGGCGGCACTTTGACAGTGTAGTGTTTTTAATGTCCCCTAGACGCCCAGTCACCTTTATACGCTTTTAACGGATCGTGCTCACTGAGTTAACTCGAAAGACCCCCTATAGAGGGACATACCGTGCAATTTGGATTTGAAAAACAACAGCAACAGCGAAGCAAAATACCACGATATTGAACTCTTGTATACAATATATACCCACGGCAGCTGCAAACCGTAGTGACGGAGATATAGCTAATATGTCCTAACTCGTGATAAATACGTAGGAATCAATTCAATTACTTTCTGTATTGGACAATACCTGTTATTACATTGACTATCTAACATGAGTGGCGATCGCATACATTTGGGCAGGATTATTTCGTAATATAGCAATGACATTTTTGAGTATTAATTTGTAGAACATAGACACCTTCAAATTGTGAAGTGTTTTATCAATACTGGAAGACATGAACTACGGAATGTACACACTGGTCCTACCGATGACATATATTAGCAATACTTCCACCGACTCGATTCCAATATTTGTAAACGGTTATTGAAGGCCATGACGAGTTACTGTGTAGCTATGATGTTATACTAATAAAAAACGTTTTGCAAATATAATTATTCGATTTTTGACAATGGACTTTTGTTGTATCTGTTTTGCTTTTGTTTATTGCTTCGTTCTAAATATTTTCTTATTAGTTATCAAATTAGCATAATTTATTGTAATTAGTTGAGTTATTTAAGTAGAAAAAATGTTAAATAACTTGTATAAATGGGCATAATACTGTGCAGACATAGATGTATATTATACTGTACAGATTTTGTTAAAAAAACTTACAATGGCGGATATAGTGCATGACAATCACACTATTTTCTTGGTAAGATTAAGCAAAGTTCTGACAGAAGCTGAAAAATTGCCACAAACTCACGGCTATTGTCAATTTCTTTCGCTGTTGGTGAGCAAAATGTGTGAACGTTGAAATTATATATTATCGGTGCTGGGCAAAAATGAGCAATACCATCTGAGAAAGCGTTGGTCAACAGAAATTTGACGAATGAAAACTGCAGTAAGTCCAAATAACAAATTCCCAGATATAATACTTAAGACTCGAACATAAATGTAAACACAGCCTAATTGTGCTAGTTGGTTTAACTAATATCATCATTGGAACAGTAGCTCAGTAGAAGCAAATTCTCACATATCATATCGCCATCGCCATTTTGTTTTGAATATCCGCGACAAACATCTCACAGTGTTCAATGTCTGTTGTTAATTATTTTTCTAAGTGTACCCCTCCACAAGATTCAAATCTGTTCATGTTTATGAGGATATTTACAACACAAGTAATGTATATAATTTATTAATGGGATAATACATGAGTTTCCATCGGCTTAAACGAATAACTTATTAAAAATAATAACTTGCGCAATGCTGCGTGTTGGCATCATCATGTCCGTCTCACTGGTGTGCCACAAACACAGACTCACTCTACAGGCTGAGAAATAAACAAGGTAATACAGGCAGTTTTGACAATATACCTCACATTTATTTTATTTTTATGAATATTAATGCCATTTTATTTTATTCTTTCAGATTTGTTCTGGGTAAAGGATTTTAATAGTGTACTTGTCTGGTGGAGATTCTCATTTCATCACCTTAAGTGTGTATGCAGCCTAAAACAAACAGGATAAGCATGTTCCACTCTTGGCTTAACGTGTGGGGGTAATGATGGAGACTACCTGTCACATTATTCCTATCACAAGCCCCGAAAAAAGTTACTTAACTCAATGAGTCTTGAAATAAGATCTCTGTAATTTTTCTTAGTAATTACAGTGGTATAAAATTGAGTAAATCAATATACATAACAAACTAGACGAATGTGTTATTGATGGAACACTCTGATGTCAAGCGTCAATTCCAGTGGTTTTGTGTGATAATAGCGGTAACAACTGCAATGCTTTTAGAGAATTTTTCTGCGTGAAAAATTGCAAGTCCTGTAATTGAG